GACGTTTGGGTTGAGTGACTATGAGTCTTCAACATTTCATCAGTGTTTTGTTTTTTTCGACATCAGTTAAAAGCCATGTCACTGATTTTAACCGGGTTTAGCTTTGATTAATAAAATAACGTACAAATATGACTGAAGTAAACCAACTGGAAGTAAGTCAGATTCAATATTTAGGCCATTAAGGTAGCTTTCATTACAATAACCCTCCTACTAACACTGCCTTTGAGCAGTGAATGATAAGATAACAACATTCAAATCAGAAATGAAATTTAAGTATGATGTAAATGATCTTGTTTTGTACTTAAGTGCTGTAAACATTCTAATGGGGTTTCTCAGACATGAGTTTGTTACGTAGGACATGTTTTTTACAAGTTTATATCAAACTTACCAGATCTCCGCCTCCCATCTTGGATTCTAGTTTGTATTTTCAATCAAACAAAAAATAAAGACGGAATCAATATCCGTTTATTAAGAAAATGTAAAACAATATAAAACAAAAGACTAGCTAGAAAATGGTGTCGTTCATGTCTATAATGTCGTCAAGCAGCACACTTCCTGTTTTGTATGGAGGGTTCCGGTTATGATCGTACCGTGAAAAATTGTCCCCGAAATCAAAAAGCTTCAAAGATTAGTTCCGCCCTTTTTGATTGTGGATTCTTAAAACACATTGTTATTTTTTCTTATCTAACCCACAATTTTACCTGGTTACCTTAATATTACTATATCCTAATTAGGCATGTTATTAGGGTACCAAGCTTGAGACAAAAATACATACATTATATTTTAAACAACAAAAATAATAATAGCAATATTCAGGTTGGGTTTTGAGAAAAACATTTGGAAATATGTACATAAAAAGACATTTTAGCACAATACATTGATATATATATATATATATATATATTTCAAATGCCAAAATATTGTTGTAATTAGATGAGTCAAGTAAATACATTTTTATTTGAGAGGAAATGGCAGTGCTTAATCCCCTTATCATTAATATTAGGTTTCTAATGGAGCACTTTGCTCTCAACCAGAAGACTTACTAGTGGTTCATAGAATTTCTAAAAGTAGAATAGGATGTAGGAGTCTTAAAAGTAGAGTGTCTACTTTTAAGACTAGGCTTAAAACTTTCCTTTTGACAAAGATAGTTAGAGCAGCTCAGGCTATCTTCATAGTTATGCTGCTATGGTATTAGACTGCCGGGGGACATAGGAATCGCTTTTCATCATTATGTTTTCTTCTATGTTTATTCTTCCAGTCTGCAGTATTTGTTCATTTAACCAGAAACTTTACATTCTTTCTGCTTTTCCACATCATTGTAGCTTCTTCTGGTATTGTAATGTTTGGCTTTGGCACCAGCATGGAGAGAAATATAATCTGGGCTGCTGCCACCAATAACCTCAACTATAGATTATATAGTTGGGCCTGTTTTTCTGTACTTAGTCCTGCTTCTCTTCTAGACATAGTTATGGGCTTAGTTTTTATTTTGACATGAAAATCCAGAGCTTGTCTGCTTAACTTCTTTGTTTCCTAGACAAATCCACATGTGGTGCTAGTTTACCTTTACCTTTTTCTAACACAGAACTATTTATGGATCAGTGCTACTATGTTACTGCGATGGACTGGCGACCATCCAGGGTGTACCCCGCCTCTTGCCCGTAGACAGCTGGAGATAGGCACTAGGACCCCTCGCGACCCCACTTGGGATTAAGCTTGTCAGAAGGTGGATGGATGGATGCTACTATGTTCATTACATATGTCTCCTTCTCTCTACTTGATCTCCCAGTCAGCCTCTGCAGAATGCCACTCATTCATTCTGCTGAAGGTTTATTCCAGTTAAAATGTTTTTCCTCTCCACTGTCGCTCCATACATCCTCAGTGTGAGGAATTGCTGTAGAATCAACAACAAAATACAATTACTAGAAACAAGGCAATTGTGAAGCGAAAAAAGTCCTTTAATTGCAGGCCTGAAAACTGCTATTATAAAAGAAGGGTGTCGAGTATCCTGACCTTTTGGGATGAATGTTTTCCATCTTATAGGTTTTGAAAATCTATTTAGTATATTTTCAGCAATTAAAACAAGTTTCTTCTCAAACCCTTCACCCCCTACCTGTGATGACCCAGCAAACCACTGTATCTGACACTTTGCATTGAACTTAAACAGAACTGAGCAATGACAGTCTGATAGTTAAGGCCGAATTAAGTTTGGATAAAATCTGCCAAAAAAATCTGGCAGCACTTTCATGTTGTATGTTCAAGTTGTCTGTGATTTTACTAGGCCTTCAACTTGGTTTTTCCCAGTCACTTTCACTTTGTTATAATACCACTTACAGTCTTGTGTGGAATATAAGTAGGGAGTGAATGTTATGACTAGACACATTGTACATGAGGCATCTTATTATGGTACCAGGATGGAATCATGAAAACATTTTGGCATTAATGTCTGTAGACAGTCATGTCATCTGGAGGAAAGAAAGGGAGGCTGTTGAAAGGGGTAACTTAGATAGATAATACAGTATTATTTTGTCAATGAAGGGACATTAAAGAAGTTTAATGTTCTGATATTTACTCTAAAATTTTTGGTGTTCTCTCAAAGACACGGATCAAAATACTCTAATCTAAATTATAGCCCTTATCTACAGGTACCCATTTGGTTCAGATTATTCTTAATACAAAAATATCTGAAACTTTATTAAAGTAAAACATTCATATTTAATATATACATAATAGAATTAAAACAGCATATTTTCTATGGGTGCCAAATGAGAAAAGTTCAGGTGTGGGTCCAGGGGTGGGTTGTGGGGGCCTTTGGTCCCAGCGGAAATCTGACATGCTCTGCTCCATTCACTGATAGTTTGATTCTTTACACATGTTTTACTACATATTTGCTTTCAATTAATTTTATGACTCAATGATTTTTTTTATACTTTAGGAAAGTTATTTCCCAAAATAAAATATTTAGCATGCATATTGACCAAATAGATTTAAAAAAAAATTCCAACACAGCATATTGCACCGAAACCTTTCGTCTGCTATTACGAGTGACACACAAACACAGCATCATTTCTTTAAATCTTTTTTATTAATAAGTAACAACAATTGATTAACTACAAATTATTACACAATATTTAAGTTATTCTACTATAGTCTCCAAAAACTGTTACATTAACTACGGCAACCACTAGAAAATGTTCTCTACAAAATGAAATAAGTCTATCTGTAAAAACATAAACCAATAACATTAATACAAGTCAATAAACAATTGACTAATATTTAAGCCCTTTTTGTTCTAACATATCCTCTATACATAAATACAACAATCTTGAGTCTCTGATCATTTAAAGCTCCCTAAAAGTAAAACTCTGCCTGAAGTTGGTGATGCTTTTCACACATCCTATAAAGCTGCTTGCTTAGTTTGCTACACAACTACTGATCATAAGGTATCGTTAATAAAAATCTATCCAAAATGAGTAACTTACTGTTTTTTTTTTTACAATTCAGAAAAAGAAAATCAGTTGTTCTAGTTTTTCCTTTTATTTTAAATCACATATTTGTTAACTACTGACCTGTAGGGGGCAGCAGAACTGTAAAAATAACCAAAAACCTGTTTTTATATCTAAAGACAAAGGTGATAATAAATGTCTGTGATGCTCAGGCAAACACAAAGTGTTACACAATGCCTGACTCAAAGAGGTCTGATTTCAGGACCATCCTTTTCAATCTCAATTTAACCTCTAACATGCTTTATGAGTGGTGCTATGTAATAACCAGTCTTTCCAATGTGTTGTTTTTTTATGTGGACCTACAAGCCATTAAGTAGATTTCGGTATAATATGTGAATGTCTAATCTGTCAATGCACACACTGTTAAATGGAGCAGAGAGGCTTTAAACCAGTAAATCAGAGACAAAAAAGTCCAATAAAAGTTGAAACAAAGTGCAGAGATGGATGATAGCTCTCAACATGCATTACCTCTTTCACATTACACACAAGCATTTGATCCATGGTTACAAAGAAAAATTGTCAAGTGCAACTTAAAATCCTGTGTCTCTTCATGCTGGATGCGTCTTTCAGTACCTGCAGCCCGGAGTGTCGACAGGACGGATCTGAGCAGTTGGTGTGTTTTTGTGTTCTGAATCCAGATGGGCCTGCTGTCCCTGAGCGTGTCACAGCAGAAACCTGGCTTCATCTCACCAGACGGCACTTTTCTGTCCATGTCATGGTGTTTTTGGCCTTGTTTCCCCCCTTTTAACAGGAGCCTCAGCTGCACCCATCACTTGTTTCTCTGTTACTTTTTGTGGTGATGTGGGCCTTCTCATACTGCTGATTTTTTTTTATTTTGTCCTTTGTTTTATTTCACGTAGAACACTTGTTCACAGTCTGTTCACACCTGTTCACTCCTCTCCTGGTGTTTGTATATTTTCTCACCACCAATTTGGAGGTGAAAAAGTAGTATAGTTTCTTTCAGCACATAGAATTTCCACACAGTTTCATGAACCATGCTTTGCGAAGCTATTCGGGGCCTGCAGCTTGTTTCCAAATTTTTCATATCAATATCCCAAAGTTTAAATTTAAAGTTTTTTAAGAGGGATCTTAGGTGTTGGATCAACACAAATTACTGCATTAGAATTGTATTCTTACCTTTTTATAATTTGCATTGTAAACTAAAGCTTTCAAAATCAGTTTAATCTAACTACTGTTCTGTGAAGGGCTTGTGGTTTTCTCAGATCATTAGTGAAAAACAGCCTCATGGACAGTGAGGAGCATAGAAGACAGGTCAGAGAGAGGTGGTGGGAAAGTTTAACCTGGTAACAACCCACAAAAGAAATCCCCCAAAACCTGAAACAACTGAAAAAGCATAAATTAAACCAGCTGCGGTTCTTTAACCCCTTGGAGGTTCTAGTCTGCCATATAAAACCATTGTTATGCGGAAAGTAGATTGTGAAAGCAGTATGATGCTGCAAATTTGGAGGCACCACATAAGTTCCGCAGACCGGAGATGACAGTTAACTGGTTTAGTAGGGTTACGTTTTTACGATCTCATGGAGGGCTGTTAAATTCATGACTGCTTATCTGAATTGACAGCAATGGCATGAAGAGTAATAATTAGAGATATAAAGCTGTGGGCGAAAGGGACAGCTCTGGGGAAGCTGCATAGACAAACAGCTCATGTGGGAGGGAAAGAATCAGCTGTCTATTTATGTTAAGAAGCAATATGGTTCAAATGGTAGCTCTGTGCAAACAATTTAAGATCACAGCAAACATGAACCATAGTTATTTGGTCAGATGAGACCAAAGGGGAATATACTTCCCAATATAAAAAAAAAAAATGGAGCAGAAAACTAAGACTCCACATCATCCCCACAGGGAAACCTGGTGGCAGCAAGATGATGCTGTAGGGATGCTTTTCTTTGACGGGGAAAGGAAAGTTATAGACCTCATGCAAGGAAGATTAGACAACGTTTTAGTCTCTAGATGTGCAAAGATGGTTAAGATATGCTCCCAAAGACCTACAGCTGTAGCTGAATAACTTCATGTAAGATTAGTTATTAAGAGTGTTCAGAAAACATGTATTATTATCCTTCCACTTTGTAATTATGCACCAAGGTCCAGTTCCATAAGGATATATCAATTGAAAAACAAGGTATATTAAGTTTTGTGATGGTGGGGTGACAAAAGCCCAAGATGTATGAGTATCTTTGCAAGGCAATGAATATTATATTATATATAATAATATTATATCATATTATATTTTTCTCCCTTTTATAAGTTGCATACAAATCTATTTCTCACTTTCGATAACACGTTCAACAAGTTTTATGTAAACATCTTTTTTCAGCTGAACTCATGCCCGTCTGTCTCTGTTCTGCCTGGGGTTCCAGCAGCACCTTCTGCTCTTCTTTGGCTCCTTTCAAAACTACAGAGGAGAGTTTTAGCTGTATAATGCATAAGACCCTGTGCTTCCTGTGTGCTGTAGTATCCCTACTATCACTACCACAGGAGTTGCATACTTTTGTTTCCATCCAGCTTCCAATGGTGAAAGTGTCCGCACCATTCTTCTACTCTCTATTCTATTGTAAAATCTGCACCTGTTACAGATAGGGCTGAACCCTCTTACTACAAAAACATCTCCTGGAAGTGATCAAATTAGCCGGACTGCCCCGTCACGCTGGAAACCGGAGGGTCTGTCTCGCATTTCAGCTTCATCTGAGGCTCTGTGCTGTCAGACGTATTTGATGACGACTGAGGAGGTGTGGGCGCATCAAAGCCCTTATCCATCCTTCCATCACCATTTACCCTCTCCTCCCCGTGTCCCGGTGGTGACTCATGTGTGCGCATGTGTTTGGCCAGGTGGTCGTTACGCATGAAAACTCTGGGGCATAGAGCGCAGCTAAACTTCTTGGCACCAGTGTGTGTCTGCAGGTGGCGCTGCAATTCATCGGAGCGCGTGAATCTCTTGCCGCAGAACAGCCAGTTGCAGACAAATGGCCGGTCTCCACTATGCCAGCGCAGGTGAGCCTTCAGGTGGGAGGTCTTGGCGTAGGCTTTGCCACATCCAGGGATGTGGCAGTTGTGCATGTGCTTGGTCCTGCTGTCCTCAGCACTCTGCCCCATTTGCTCGGCCTGGATGCAGTTAGGGCACCGGCACAAAGCCTGCCCTGCGCCCCGGGAGGATGAACGTCGTTGAGGCTTGGGCCGAGCAGACACAGAAGTCTCTTGCGGTTCCTCCATTGAGAAGGTGTCCTGCTGCAGCATTTCAGGTCCGAGCGGCTCCATCTTGAAGCCGTCCTGAGGGTAGAGGTGGGGCGAGTGTGAGGCGTGCTGTGCTGTGGGCATAGTGCACAGCTGTGGGTCAGAGCCATATGGGCCTAAAGAGGACTGCAGTCCCATGGAGCTGCCTGGACTCCCTGAGGGCAAGCCAACACTTTGGCCAGTCTGCAGATCTATCCAACTGCCGGACTGAACATCGCGGTGGAGGTCCCACCAGGTTGGGATGTTCATTTCTTCAGAGCTGCCACTAGATGGTGCTGTCCTTAACCAGGGTTCGTAGGGGTGGGCCATGATTGTAGGTAGTGCAGGTGCAAGATTCAGGATAAAGCCAGCCACTTAAGGAGTTGATCACTGTCTTTTCGGGCAGCACGCAGAAGAAAACCTGCAGAGAGAAAGAAAAACATCTTCAATCCAGTCTTTCATTCACCTGTTTTAGTCTCTTAACCTCTGCAAACCACACGTCTCTGAACTGTATTTGCAGACCTCTAGTTCAAAAACATTTAAATAATCAACCCTGAAGGCACCTCCCCCGTTACCATGGATACCAGAGTTCTCACGCTGCCGTGGAAACAGACGAGAAGGGGGGAGACAGACGTGTCCAGGCAAAGGCCTGCCACATGCATCCGCTGCCAGGTACTTCCCAATGAAGACCGTCAGAGGCAAGCGCAAAGAAAACAACATCATTGGCTCGGCACAGACACAGGAGCAGGAGCAGGGCGAAAGAATTCTGCAGAGACTGGAGGGTGAGGTGTTCATGGAGGGGTAGTGGGGGGAAAGGGAGTGTTGACAAGAGAACAGTTGGGTAGAGGAAGAAGTTCCAGGGAGGTATGGCTGCAGGCCAAACTCTATTTGTACATCCCTGAGGCTTGTCAGGAGAGAACCTGGCAGACAGAAGAGGCCATTTTTTTAACGTGTGTGTGTGTGTGTGTGTGTGTGTGTGTGTGTGTGTGTGAATCACACATGATTTACAACAACACGCCTTTAGGTATGTTATGGGAGAAGACGGGTAAGACGCCCCGCCGCTGACACCTTGGCGGCGAAGGAAGCATCAACAGCTGCAAACTGACAACATTCGGGAGCCTGAGAATAGGAGCCCAACAATAACAACAGGACAATTACTTTATGTGTATAATTATGGGCGCATGCTCCGAATTCACATCCTGTCCCCAACACGCCTCAGGAATTTTCACTTAACCACACTTCAGCTGCGTCACCATGTGTTTCATGCAGGAGCCGGTGCCTCACTGATTCCACAGGTGGCGCAAAGCTTGTTAAAGTTGGACACGTCTGGGGACGTGCGAAAATAGGAACCAATGAGACTAAAAACCAAACAGGTTCCAGCACAAAACGATCTTGTTGACTTGCAGTACTCCAATCACCAACGTCTACAATTATCTTTACAGCAGGAAACAATGAAATAGACTGGTGTCTCTGTCTGGAGATCACTTTGTGTGATGCATATCTGAAATGCCAGAATGAAAGAGTGATGGCTTACAAAAAGACTCACACAATGTGTCAATAATACTGAGAGTGAAGGATCCCTATCTGAAAATGTAAATTGAGGCCTGAAGAAAGACGAAAAAGATCACAGCTCGGTTAAAGCCACTCAAAGCTGCTTTCAAATCTGAATGGGATTGAAAAAAAAAACAATTAGTTTGGAATTTTTCTAATGAAAAGGTGTGCTGTTAAAGGTCAAGTCTGGCTATTTGAAGTGAACCTGGAATCAGAGCTTGGACCGTATAATTTTTTGAAGATGCTCAGATGGCGGCATAGTCTCACCAACACATCTGCCTTCATCCAATGAATGACTGAGAGCACCTCCTGAAACCTACCCCCCACCCCTACTTACGAGGTGTGAAACCTGTTCAAAATTCTCTGATCATAAAACCTGCCCGACCAAGACCCAGCACAGGCGCCATTTTACAAGTTTGACATTTGAATGAGGCCTGATGAGAGGGGGAGGAACGTCAAAGAGCAAGCCACACTGATACATCTTGCTTAACACATGCTTTTGAAGGTGTTTCAAATATGAAATCATAAAAAACAACATACTTGTCAAGTCTTAAAAAAAGGCTCCTACACATTACAACAATTATAACAGGACTTTCAGTTATAAATTGTGTGATTAATGATTTACCAACACAAAATTGATGCATTGATTCTTAAAATCAAATGTTTAGTGCTATTGTGACATAGGTCTTCCTCACATACTGCTATTTGAACTCAACAACTACCTGATGGCTCATCGCTAGAGCACTTTAGAAATGAAAACTTTTTACACAGAAACTAGATGTTAATGCTAACCTCAGTGTAAATTTATTTCTTCCTTTTAAGAGTGAATCCTCTTGGGTGTAAGGAGTAAAAAAAGTCTGTCCTACATTCATGTTGCTCTTCGCACTAAAACAGCTGGATTATTTCCTAAACCCCAATACTTTTTCATGCTTTTCGGGGAGACGTTTGAAGGCTGCGGGCAAATTTCTGGCAAAAAACAAAACTGTGGCCAAGTTTGTTCTGTTAAAGAAGTAGGCTATGCATCATCTCTAGTGATCACTGTTTTGAACTTAACAATGACCTACAAATAAACCTCCTCTAATGAATATCACCTGAACTCATTTAGTAACTTTCACATATAGCTACTAGGGAGCTAGGTTAGGCTAGAGCTACCTAAAAATTGGCCATAAGGTTCATAGATATTTTATACAGCAGTTTTAAATACATGATTGAACTAAAACGGAAATTAATCCAGCCTTTCCGTAAACTCTATGAGAGTTTAAACAATAGAAAGGATTTAATTAAACTTATTTCAACCTAAATCAGGCGCACAGCATCAAACCTTTTTACTTAATTGTTTTCAATTTCTTGTTACTCCACACACCAACACTACTAGACACACTGCTTTAAGCCATAATAATGGATTTAAGCAGCTGGGATAACATTTTTTTTTTTATTATGTTGGTATATTAATGTTAAAATCAGTTCAAACTAATATAATATCAGCATTATACCTGTAAAGTAGTTAACAAAATCTAAACCTTACTCATTAAGACTTTGAGTAAGGGAGTTTTTATTTTAATTTTAACTACAATGTGCAATGATTTAGTTTGTAGGGCATTTATCCTGTTTATTTTTTTTCATGTCAAGTTATGGGCAGCTTTGTCTATATTTGATTACCTGGTTGAGTTAGAAAAATATCCCAAACTGGTTTGTTTTAACCCTAGAGGTTTTTGTGTCCATTTCCTCTTGAACCTACAGGTCCAGTTTTGTTATCTGTCTTATCATTTCCTAGCTGTTGACCCCTGACTATCTGTTGGAACTCCTTTAGGTCAACCGGTACTCCTCAGGTTGTTTGTTTTAACCTCCTTGATGTACAAGATGGATGGAGTGGAGTAGACGCTTGGCAGCAGCCACTTCAGAGGAGTCTGTAATGACAAACTTAAAACGGTTTTCGGACTAAATCAAACTTTTCAGGACGCGGTGTGGCAGCTGTGCACCATTAAAACGCTCTGGTAACATGTCAAAACAAAGCACCAATTCCTGCTCCAGTGACCAAGATCTGACTTGAAAAAAAAAAAAACCTGGTAGGTCGTAAAAGAAAAAAAAAAGTTTTTCGCACACGGAGCGACGGATTAAGTTGGTGACATGCAGACGCAGACGTGCATGTAGTTGTAATCTCTGCTAATCTCTCCTGCTCTCTGTTAAGTGTATGATTAATTGCAGAGATACATCAGATATGAATGGCATTTAACATGAGAAATGGTTTAAGGGCTTAAAAAACACAGGTTCAAAACCTCGAAAACATTAACAAGAAAAACCATCCTACTTATCATTATATATAGTTTTAAACAGCAGAAGCATGACAGATATTTTTTTGTTATGCTTAATGGTTCAACTAAACGTTAATTTCTATTATCAATCACTGACATAAGTTACGCTTTATTCTGCCGCTCCAGTTTCAAACACAAATATAACTGTATTTAAACTCTGTTTTTAGTTTAAAATATAAAGATGGGAATCTAATTCAAGCCAAACCCTTTCCTCCTTGTCTGAATAGATTCTGGTGTATTTTGCATATCAGGTAAATTGGGAAAAACTGGATAACTGTCTTGACATTAATATGGCAGAGCTGATGGTGATATTAAAATTAGCTTATAAGCGTATAACAAAAATCACATACTTTTGAAAGCAGTGGTGAAATCACTTTTTACCTCTCCAGTCCTAATTACCATACAAAGTCAGCCTATGTGGGAAATGTGTTTCCAACCAACTCACATAGTGAAATGTTACGTTAAACCTTCAATGTATTTCTGTAATAATTTAGTATCATTTGTAGAATTCTACATGAGTTTCCAAATTATTTTAATTGGATATACTAAATAAATATAAACGTTTTGATAAAAATGAATCAAAATGTGTGTAAATCTATTTAACTGAATAGTACCTCCTTCATTAATGACTGTAAACAATATATTTGTTATTTGTAATAATACAATAATATAAGGGTTGTTCTGCTTTCTTTGATTTTAACTATAGGTATTTCAAAAATATCTATCTAAATATCGGGTGTGACAGAACTTTAGGTGTAAGATAAGTTTTTATTTTCTGGTGGAAATTAAGTTGGTGTTCACGAATATAAATTATTGCAGTGTACACTAGCTATTTTGCTTTTTCACAGTTTTCCACAGAATGGAAAAGACAGTCAGTGAATACGAGATTTAGGCTAGAGGGAATGCAACAAAAGTGGCATTAAAATATCTGCCTTCAGTTACACCAATATCATAGAAATTTCAGCAATAGAACTTTGTTTTGCTTCATTCTTTTCTCCCACCCCCCCTTTTTTTTTTTTACAGTTTTTATTTAGGCAGCCTTACTTTTTGTGCTTCTGCATTTCGAATAAGTACTATTATTAATTCTTTATTTCAATGCAGATTTTATTTCATAATAACTCAACCAATTAATAGATTTTTTTATCTATACAAAAAGTAAATAAAAATATGCATGTAAAAATATGATTTTTAAATTTTTTGTTTAAAACATAGTTTATTTAAAGTGCCATTAAAAGTCCAGGAAGCCAACTTATGTTTCATTATTTTTAGCCATAAAAACAACGGCCGGTTAAAATACTTTTTTTTTTTTTTTTGGTTTGTTTTATGTTTGGGGACTTTGGTTCAAATTTGTAAAATTCAATTCATGTACTTATAGTGATTCTCATTGTTTTTCTTTGTTCTATTTAGTTAGTGAACCTTTAGAATTTGAATAAAGTTATAATCGGACTTTTCTTTAAAAGCTGAACCGAGTCTGATCTTTGTAGACAGTTTTATCTCGTCACAGATTACTTTCATGTTAAACCAGGGTGTCGCACTTCAAGCAAGAAAAGAAAAAAATATATATATATATTAAAAAGAAAAGAGTTACCTGTTTATCCCAGGAGCTGCTGCTGTCTTCCTTTGGGTATAAACCTGGCTGAGGTCAGCTGTGTTCGTCAAGAAGTGAGCCCACAAAGGTAAAATCCTCATCATATTTCACGTGACGGTCCAGGTGAAGCGGCTGGGCGCGCAGGTAAGCAGCACTGTGAGCGCGCTCTAACTTTATGATAGGCTCTGGGTCCTCAGCCCCAGCAGGCTCCGCCCACCCGCAGCTGGAATCAGCCAGACTCAGCTTGGCTGCAAGGAGCAGCACCCTGTTTCCAACCAGCGAACAAAGGAAGGAAATCGTTTCAATCAAGTCATAAAGAAGCCATCTGAGTGTTTTCACCTAAACTTAATAACTGATGGTTTAATTTATGCTTTTTAAATTATCAGTCAGGACAGTGCGCCTTTGCTGATAAATCCACCTAAGTGGGCAACCAGAGAGGTTTAATCTTTTTAGCTGTTCCCTCAAGAGCCACACTTTTAAATCATAGCAAATATGAGCAGAAAAGATATGTTTTAACCAGAGGGGCCCCAAAGCAGAGGCTAATTAAGTCCTGCAAAGAGGCCCACACAGCAGAGGCGTAACCAGAACTTTTTATAAGGGTGGCCAGGCAATAAGGGTCAGTCTACACTGTTCCAACAGGAAAATTAACGAGCAAAACATCCATATTTTCTAAATAAAGACTAACTATACTTTCCTACAGCCTTTGCTAAAAAATACACAAATATATTTAAACATCCATAATTTCTAGATAAAAGGTATAGTGGATAAAAGGTCTAGTGGATAAAACTCAGTTTTGAGTTCTGGGGCATACATCTTTTCCAATCTTACCTACTTATATCAATAAACATTTTGTTCAGTTTTTGTTAAAAATTGTTATTTACCCTTGATTTCACTGAAGACTCCTAGATGACACATAATTGATATCATACAAAATCCAGTTCTGAACAGAGCATGATATCTGCACTTATCATCTTTGATGCTAGTATATTGATGTTTATAACTAACCATAAAAAAAAAAAAAATGTTTTGAATATTCCACTTGAGAGTATTACTGCTGCCACCATCTGTATTGGGGGGTGGGGGGGTGGGATGGGGGATGATAGGGGTGGCCAGTGATTGGCTATGGATCATGGCCACCCCTGGCCCCCCATCTACCTGTGCCCCTGCCACACAGTGCAAAACTGGATGTTTGAATTTCAGAGGCAACTTATTTTACTCTGGAGTAGTTACAACTATTGTGAGGGTAAATCTGCTGAGGTTTTGGAGTTAATAGTGAGCGAAAAAATTGACAATAGTAGAGTAGAGTAAGTTTTACTCTATATGGTGTAAATTACCTGCCAGTCTCTGAGAAGTCTGCTTGATTTCTACACTTAAGTGAGTGAAATTAACTCTGAAAAGTTGACACTGCTGCAGAGTAAATTTTACACTAATTAGGAGTGGGAGAAAATGTTATTGCAAACATTTATATTCAACTCTTTCGGTGTTAAAGTCACAGTTGTTTTTTAACTGTGCAGTTATGTGGCCAAGGATGACAAATCTTTATAAATTAGCTCTGAGTGAATAATAAAGAAAGGGATTTATTATTTGGAACTTAAATATATTTTAAAGTAGTAGCCAAATTAAACGAATCTAAGTAAAAAAAAAAAAAAGCTTTCAAATAAGCCAAATGTCCAGAGTTAGCTGGTTTATAAACTGCTGTCTGTATTTGCGCTGGAGTCACTTTTCATATGTGCTTTGACATGTAATTAATCAATCAATAAATGACGGAGGATGAGGGGTGTATACGTCATAAGCCTGGTTTTTACCTGACACACTGAACTGTCAATTTTGGTGGGCAAGGGAGCGAGCAACATCGTGACTCCAGCACACTGTCTTCACCTGGTCATTCCCCTCAGAATTTATTGTAACTTGGGATGGACCTTGTGCGCAGTGCTCCATTCAGAATGAATGAGATGCAGACCTTTCACACACCAATAGATCAATACTCTAAGAACAGAAGGAAGAGAGTCAGAAAAAATAAAAGCAACAAACAGAGAATAGTTAAGTTACATTAAAAAGCACACATTAGATAAGATCCAAAATCTTGCAGAGCAGTATCCTTTACAAAAAGATCAAAAGGTGGTTTCCTCTTAGCCTGAGTCTGAATCTTTGCAGGAAACAGAATTAAATTGATAAGAAATAACATTTTCAATGGGGAACACAGCGATTTTTGATGTTTGTGAAGAATACCTTTCCACTGGTTATGCTGCCTCATGCCTCATGCTTTTACAGAGAATATTGGACCAGTTTTAACATTGATTATAATCGCCTGCAGTCCTTGTTCATGCTTACTTGTGTCCGACCTGAGAGGCAACTCAAAAATACAGTACTTTTACAGTACATCAATAACCATGTAATAACATGGTAATAACATCAGAAGTCACACTATATTACCTGGTAATAAGAAAATTTTGATAATTTGGTAATTACCCCAAAATTAAAGTATTAATATTTCAAATTAATTATTACAACTGTATGTTACTATGTAACAATGGTGTGTAATTACCATTAGCTTACAACATAACAGTTTATTTTATTGGCCACCACCGGCTTACAAAGTGAATTGTAACTCATGATCAGATAACTAAAGCATTATAAAAGTGAACTCAAGTAACATATAAATAAAAGTTTGGTTAATAAGATTATCTTGTTGTCTTCTAGGTTTAGTTTTCTGTTGACAAGAAGTAAAGTGCATTTTACTAGATAATAACACATTCATTTATTGCTGTCAGTGAAATGAATATGAGTTACCTGGCAATAACTGTTTGAAATCTAATAAGTCTGACTTTACCTTGTATGTCTAAAATTTTGAAGAAGAGCAGTTACAAATATTCTCCATAAAGTTTTTCTTGTTGCCTGGTATAACATGCAATGTTATTACCATGTCCTTATATGGTCATTGATGTACTGTAAAGTAAAGCGTTTCCAAATTAACATTGTATTTTAAAATTTGATAATTTGATCTCTTCTTTTGAAAATGTTTATTGCATTAAATTAGGCAAGCAAAAAGTAGCATACTTTCAAACCTCCCTGATGTATTTCACATGATCTGCAAAAAAAGTCAGCTTTTAGTGTAAGAACATCTCAGCAGAAAAGTTGCTTTTCTCCAATGCCTTTTAGAGAGGTTCTTTCAGGAATTTCAGATTTGTTCTACAACAAGATAGTGTCCAAAAATCTTTAAAGTATGATGATTACATGTGTTAAGCCCCAAAAGGAGCTCCTATTACTTTGAATAGGAACATCATATTGAACATCAAAGTTCAATATGAGTCATTAAATATGAAAGCAGCTCAAGATATGAGATTTTATAATCAATAAAATATTGCTGTAATGTATGGCCTCTCCGTGATCTAAATGTGAAGAAATATACTCCTATTTTTTTTATTTATTTTCTAACATGACATATCTCTTAGTATCCAATCTACAATATGATTGGTGTATCATAGCCCTGAGGAATCTGAGTTTTATTTGTAAAACTGGCAAAAATGTAATATACTGGCATCTCCTGTTCACACACAATGTGGGTTTTTAATAAGAGAAGCAACTGTTTTAAGGTGGTTGCCAAAGAGAATTTGTAGCACCATGTATGCATGGAATAAATATATAAAGATGGTAAGAATATAAAGATGCCAAAACCCCTTTTGCTTAAATTATTTAACACTTCCTTGAAAATTCTGTAATTGTTTTTTAATTGTGTGGTTTAGATTTTACATGTGACCATTCTTTTTTTCAAATTAAATTCAAATGTGATTTTAATGTTAAAGGCAGACAGGAAAAGTTAAACAGTTTCAAATCGGGACGTTTTAATGGTCAAATTTTTTATCTAGCAATGATTAACCTTACACAGGATCTTCCTTCTTTGTAGCCTGCTTGTGCCCCATCTGTATTATGTTTATGATAATAAAGACACTAAATTGTTTTTAAATATTCCTTGGGAAAAAACAACCAGTAGTAAGATAACTTGCAAAATTGATGATTAATGTTTTTGTTTGCATGCTATATATTGTACAGTTTCAGTAAAAAAAAAAAAAAAATCTTCAAAGTGAGGAACCATAAGATATCCTATAAGCATATCAATCCAATTGATACAATGAAGCAAGAAAACCAAATATCTTTTCAACAAAGCGAAAGCCAGAAATGATCTAACCCTTCAGCAGAAACAAAGCTGAAACAGAAAATAAGCAACTTAATCTGACCTGAAGTAAAGCAACCTTTACCAGTTTTATTGTGGCAGTTCTGGGATGAGAACCTTATTTAAAGGTGGTTTTTAAAACATATATCCTTATTCCCACTAATTAGCATCTGTTTAGAAGTGACATCTTTATGTTTCTGTTACTTTCACTTTATTAAATGTACATTAGTGTGATTAAATAGATAAGAATTGTTTCTGTTGGTCACAAGCTACTAAAGAAATATCTGGAAATGTTCTTGTGCCTTTAATTTGTGTCAGAAACTCTTCAATTAGAGTGAAAAGTTATATTTTAGACAAAATTTTGACAAATAATGAGACTGACTAATTTATGTGCATCTATATAATTTTTTTTTTTATCAGTCTTACTATCTATATGCAGCAAGTCATAACATTAATTTCCAAACCTTTAAGTTAGACAAGCAAACAGTCAGTTCAAGACTGGTCGTTTCTAGATCTGAAATCCAGCCTCAGTGAACTACAGTATAATAAACAACATTTAATCATTTTCACTCCTGTCTGCTTTATTTTAATTTTTTCAACTTTTTATTTTGTCAAATCACCAATGTAACAGTTCATATTCTCACAGTGTTAATTTGTTTTTATTTATTTCTACCTCCAGTGGAAGCTGTTTTGGGTTGAGAAACATTATGTCAAGAGACTTGTCTTGGTTTGTTAAAGAAAAAACATTTTTTTTAAATTTTATAACTTATTTGGTCAAAAAGTATCTTGTTAACCCAACAAAATAAATTGCATATCAAACACCCTCTTTTTCCTGTTTCGAAATATTTAGATGGCTGTTAAAAGTACATGCCTCAGTTTTAGAGCTCTATTATCATAATTAAAAGCTCAATTTGTGAAACTGATACTTTATTTCTGTCTGACCAACCTTCCAGCCCTAACCATGATTCATAAATTAAACAT